AATATAAATAAATAACTTTAACCCAGCCCCAATCAGAACCACCAACCAAAACTCTATTCCATCTTTTATTATACTTCAATTTGTTCTGTTTGACTGCATCATGTACTCTGCAAAAATACATTCTGCTTTGCTTCAGGCATCGCAGTCTCCCCATGGCATTACAAACTTTTGAGAATTCCAGAAGTCATTTGCAAGGACACAAAGGAGCTACAGTAGTAGAAATGAAGAAAATTTAAAAAGGGGTAATTTTTAATATACTTATTTCTTCTTGCTGTCTCAAAATATAATCATACAAAGTCACCATGAACTGTACTGATTTCACTGGAATTTCTTTCTAGCAATTATGCTAGTACTGTCTTTAGAGTGCTTAGTAAAATGCTAGACACCTCCCAAGATTAATGATTTTAAGTACAAGTCTTCTGTATATTACATTTGTAGTATGCCACTTACCTATTCATCCCCATTGAAAAACAGCTCCTCCAAGGATTCACACAGATAACTCTGCTGTATTAAACCACAGCCTCAATTCATGATTGCATTAAGATAAAGCAGTAAGATATATATTACATTACATATTAGCACACACCTCTGAAGATTGTGGGCTTGGCTTCAAGCAAATAAGATTTCCCTCTATTGTAAGAGTAGTCAGCTTAGTACAGAGCCCCAGATATTGAATCTGACTAAGATCTTCAATGTTGTTTCCTTCTAGGTCTAGAATCTCGAGGTGCTCCAGCAGGCTAATCTGACTTAGGTCACCAATATTGTTGTAGGCTATGTAGAGTTCCTAAGGGAAATTGAAGACTCTTTCAATATTAAGGTGGAATGTGATACATTAAATAAAAATAATAAGCCAAAAACAATTAAGCCATAATAGTAAAAGAAAGTCTAGTTTTCTCATAGACAGGCAGCATGCCACTTCATTTACTTGACTGTTTTCACTTGCTTTTACTCCTAGCATATACAGCAAACAAAATCTACAGTATGCTATGGTTTCTTTTTGCATAATATTAAAGAAACCATAGCTTGTGTTTAATATTGTAAAATTTAGAAGACAAAAAAACCCAACTATGGTTTAAGACTTTGGTTTATTAAGAGAATGAGACTATTTCTGGTTTGCTAGTAACTAAACCAGAGTTCGTAGTTCACAAACCATGAATAAAGCTGCCTGTTTTTAAATACATCTGCTAGAAAGAGAGATCAAGTTGAAGCAACTTTTGATTCATAAAATAAGCCACAGTTCTTTATAGTTTCAATTTATTGTGACTTGGCTACTGAATTAACAGTTTCTAGATTCTGTTATATGGTGTTTTAGTTTCCAAATAATTTTGAATTTTCAACAGTCAGAATTTTCAGCATAATTACTACTAATATTATGAGAAATGATGATAATGGTAAAATCTCTTCAAGTCAAGCTCTTTTCCTCATGATTTCCCAAATACATCCATGTAGTTTTCTTAGCACCAATATGGAAGTGGTTTGCCATTGCCTTCATTGGAGATGTTATTTTGACTTCCCAGCTGACAATTATACTTCTTTTTAAACGAAATGCCATTGTGCAAGACAGTATTTTTTGAACCAGACTTTACATTTATACTTAAAAAAACACAATAACATTTAAAGAGAAATATATTAATGCGGATTTGATACCTAATTTCCTTCAAAGTAGTAAGGGCTGTGCACTATGTAAACAAGTCAAGTACAAAAATGTATTAAGTCTTTGACTGTCCTACCTTCAAAGAGCAGCAGGAAGAGATCCCATCTAAATCTGGAAGCCCACAGCGAGCCATCCATAGGACTTGAAGATGAGGCAGTGCTGTTCCAAGGTCCCTTAAGAGAACAAACACTAGGATTCACCATTACCTATCAACCAAGCAGCTTCATACTTAGAAGTTAATGAAAATATACTGTTTAACATCAGAGAAAGAAACAGAGAAAATTCATTTCAGTTTTTATCAGCTGGGATAAAACTTGGAACCATTTTTTAAAAAAATCTGGAGAGCTAAAAAGAAAGGTTGAAGAAGAATTGGAGTGTCTCAATTGGGAAAGTTTTACTTAGTTTGAAATATGTATTTACATTGGTTTCAATTGATCTTAGACACTGACTCTGACATATCATTACAAGTATGCAGCCATATATATGAATCCATATAGAAATAAAGGGGTACTGAACTATGTAATTATGTAAAATGTAACAAATTAAGAGCAAATGAACATTTCAATCTTAGATGATGAAAGAGCCATTAGCCCTTCAGTTAAACAATCTGGGAGAAAGAAGTTTAAGCAATTCAGATTCCATCTTAACCAATTCATTATAACAAATACTGTAACACCTTATTGTTATAAGACATTATTAGTCCCTGTTACACAATCCTATGATAGTTACATCACCCCTCAACAAATTGGGTTCTTTGTAATTCAAATTTAATTTAAATAAAACCACATTTAAAAGGTTGGTGGTTATGATTTTGTATAACAGATTTTTAAAATATAAAGTTAGCATTCTATATAGCTTAATATTTTGTGCTTCCACTAATAACAAAGTTACAATCATAGATGACACAAGTGAAGTGCATTTTGACTCAGAAGTACAAGGGGACTTCTCTTATATTTAGAACTACTTTCTGAAAGGAACTGTTGCTCAATCATTGAGAGCTTGCCAGGATACAATGTTCTAATATGTATATATTGCAAAACCTATTCTTGCATGCACCACTTTGTAATATACCACTTACCCTTCTCAGAGCTGGTAAAATGATTTGAAATCAAAGAGAAAGCCAGCATAATGGGGTATGGAATGACATGTTGAAAAGAACAATAATTATTCAATAAATCCCTTGCCTGGAAAGACTGGAAATAATCCCATTAGAGCCAAAAAATGATTGGATAGATACCAGGAAATGTCTTACTTTGATTAGGACAAACCTAAAAAAAAGTCCAGATGTCCTGTCAAAGCACAAGCTTCCTATTCATGGAAAGAAAGAAAAAAAAAAACATGGCAGCATAGCTTCAAATCTAAACAATAGGAAATTGCTGTGACAAATTAGAGGATCCCAGAAACATATTGGCACACATTCCATATTTGGAACTCTGCTTCCTTCATGCATTGGAAGGGTCCCTTGGAGGACAGTTTCCTTCCCTGGCACGTTGCTCCCAGGACTGAGCACATCATATAGCAACAGGTCATTCTCATCAAGTTGATATATTTCCCAGATCAAGCTATTTGAGGCAAGCATAGATTACACATGGGAAACTTGGGAAGAGCAGACATTTAGATGATCTAACAGTATGAGAAGGCTCAGCTTGATATGTATAATCTATAATGGGAGTAGCTGTACAAATTAAGTATATTAAAGCAATTAGTAAACTGTAGTGTCAGAAATTTTGCTTGGTCTTGATCTTCTTGGGAACAGGTATCAAATCTTTGAAATTTAACATGGTACCTTGACCACGCATATAATTTCATATCAGTAACACACTACGCCACCAGGGACTCAAATCCTGCAGTGCCAGACGTGTCCCCCTGC